GTCTAACAACACACCTGGGATTCTTTAGTCCTTCCTGGCAAACATGTTAGAAAATGGCCAAGATATGCAGGATGGTACCAAACCTTGACTTTTTCAACCAACTGGAGAAGAAAGAAGAAAAAAACACATGTCTCTGGCGGGTGAGCGACTTTCATGTAATCTTTCTTTCAAGGGCCCGGCGATTTGTGCTCCGGGGTGAAGCGCACGAGCTCCTGCGCTCGTTTGAAGGGGCCTGGGGTCGCCTTCTGACGCCTTCATGAAAAATTTGGGTGACCACGACTCCCCTTCCTTTTGCCGGTAACTCCATCGAGTCAGAAGGCAGGTCGAGACTAATTCATGTCCATTCGAAGTCCAATCGACAGCTCAAGGCAACCACTGGTTGGCAAATCTTGGGAGGGCCCCAGCTCGTTGGCTCCCTTCCGACCACTTATCCTATATATATATAGGATAACCCCTTTCCTTTGGGTAACCTCAGCTTTCAAGAGTCAGAAGGAGACAGGTAATTGACAAAGGGAAAACCACTCCTTGTGTCTGGTTGTCTTTGCACAGGCGGATGCCTATCCCAGTGATTCCATGTCCAATAGGAATCCCCCCCAAAAAAAAGAAGAAGCCAAAAGTGGCAAACTGGAATCCAGTGGGTATCCAAACTTCACATCTGGGATTCTGAGCTTCTTGAGTCGCCGTGACATCCCATGGCGGAAACCTTGCGTAACCCAAGAGGAGGACGGCCACTGAACTGGAAAAAAACAATCACCTGCTGCCCTGAACATTCACAAATGACCACATAAATCATCATTCGTGGAGGAAACTGCTTGTTTTCAGCCCGTTCTTGGGAGACATGTGAATTTTCAGGGGAGTCCATCCCCTGCAACGTTACATGCCCCAAACAAAAGCATGAAAACAGGCCATGGAGCACGGTCGGCCTTCTCCGAACCAGTGACCCGGTGACCCAAACAAACAAAAATCCAAATTCTACCAGAGGTCGAAAATCTGACATAAGCATTGGATCCCCGACGCTTTGGCTGGGTACCCCCGGATCGGTGAGCTCATGGTAGACGTTCTTAAAAAGTCCCTTGCGCATCCAAGGACCATAGACTAGATCATTGGACATGTCCGAGTTCCCTCGTACAACAAAGCTGTTGCCCGCTTTCGCAGATGGGTCCTTTTGGTTGCGAGTGAAAAGGAAACGAAACCGAAACCTAAGACAAGAAACGGTTCTGAAGGCAACCATCTTATCTAAGGATTGAAGCAAGAGACGATGGCGGTGATAAAATGAAGCGGCCAATTGCCGAAGTCCCCTGGCAAAAATGACATACGGTATTGCCAAGAGTGAGAGGTTTCCAAGAAAATCAACTGGATACTCGGCTCATGAAATCTCAACCAAATTGAACCCGAAAGGACACCAACGCTTGGACTCCCTCCCCATCAGAAGCATTGGGAGTCCTGAAAGCTCCGGCAAAACGCCGGTTTGCACACCGCCCATGAACTCGCTAAGGAAAACCTCCCTTCCCCCAACAAAACCAAGAGGACATTTCGTGAGTCGCGAAGGCGTCCCCTCCGACATGAACCGTACCCCACATTCAATCCTCATGGCTCGTTGGCCATCTCTGGGGCGCCCCCTCAAACATTGCCTTTTGTTTCGCGCTCTAGGCTCCGATGTGTTGGTTTCGGGGTAAGTGGGTCTAGTTTCAAAGTATTGTGGGCGATACCTCGGAAATTGGCTTCAAATACCTCGAATTTAATTTTTGAAACCAGTGCATCTTTTCTTGACTTAACCAATTCCCCGCCGTAGGTCTGGGTGACTTTGCCGAGGAGTATATGAGCGAGCGGCAAAACCTAAGACTACTTTGGGCGATTTCGATTGGGAAGTTCTCGTTTTTGGGGTTTCACTATATCGTTCCTGAAGGTTTCGGACACTTGTCTTTGGGGTTTCATTTCTCTCGCTCATATATGCATTTACGCCAATCAAATACCGACTGAGGAACTCCGGATCCGAACCCGATGCTGGCAGCTACCGCTCATAGCCGGTAATGTTGAGGGAAACCACCATTCACAGGAAAGAACCCCGAGTAACCAATGGAAACTCGGATCCCCAAGTTTCCAAAAAACAGAAAAAGGAAGAAGAAACAAAAACAGAAGGACCACCTTCTTTTTCAAAAACGGACAACTGCCACTGGAACTGAAGCCCCCCCTCTCCCCCCGCAAGCTGAACAGTTGGAGTCCTGGATAAGGAGCTGCACCACGGGACTGGCCTGAGACATGAGAATTCCGTCAGCCAGCCTTGGGTGGCGATCAGTCTGGGGTGATGTTTATTATTATTATTATTCTTATTATTTGTTCTTCTTCTTGCTGTTATTATTTCTATTTATATATATAGGTGTTTGCGGACCCAGCCTCTTGGTGGGCTTTAAAGGAAACACGAAAACGACGCCAACCTGGTGGGCTATAAAGAAGGAACAACTAAATGGAACCAGCAGTTTTTTTGGGGAGTCCACTATTATTATTATTATTATTATTGTTTGTTCTTCTTCTTCATATTATTATTATTTGTTCTTCTTCATATTCTTATTATTATTTGTTCTTCATATTACTATTATTTGTTCTTCTTCATAATATTATTATTATTTGTTCGTCTCCTTCATATTATTCTGATTATTATGATTTGTTCTTATTCTTCATATGATTATTATTATTGTGTGTTCTTCTTCTTCATATTACTTGTTCTGCTTCATATTACGCTTATTATTATGATTAGTTATTCTTCTTCATATCATTAATATTATTATTTGTTATTCCCCACATCTTTGTGTGGGGTTCTTACTTTTACCGCTCGTCGTCCGCGCGCCGCGTCGCCCTCCCTCCTCATCACTGTCTCACTCACACTCACTCACGCTCACTCACACTCACTCATCACTCACACTCACTCACTCACACTCACTCACACTCACTCACTCACACTCACTCACTCACACTCACTCACTCACACTCACTCACACTCACTCACTCACACTCAGTCACTCACACTCACTCACACTCACTCACTCACACTCACTCACACTCACTCACTCACTCACGCTCACTCACACTCACTCACTCACACTCACTCTCATTCACTCACTCTCATTCACTCACTCACTCACTCACTCGCTCACTCACTCACTCACACTCGCTGACTCACGGCAGCTGTCTAGAGGGACAGGATGTTGTCGCGCGCGCGGCGGGGGGTGTGCGAAATCGTGGCAGGCGCAGCACTTTGGCGATGCCGTTGTGTCGTGGCAGGCGCAGCATTCTGTGCATCTGGGTGTGTGTTTGTGTGGCAGGGGTCGCATTCGGCAGTGTCTAGAGGGACAGGATGTTGTCGCGCGCGCGGCGGGGGGTGTGCGAAATCGTGGCAGGCGCAGCACTTTGGCGATGCCGTTGCCGAAGTCGTGGCAGGCGCAGCATTCTGTGCATCTGGGTGTGTGTTTGTGTGGCAGGGGTAGCATTCGGCAGGTGTCTAGAGGGACAGGATGTTGTCGCGCGCGCGGCGGGGGGTGTGCGAAATCGTGGCAGGCGCAGCACTTTGGCGATGCCGTTGCCGAAGTCGTGGCAGGCGCAGCATTCTGTGCATCTGGGTGTGTGTTTGTGTGGCAGGGGTCGCATTCGGCAGCTGTCTAGAGGGACAGGATGTTGTCGCGCGCGCGGCGGGGGGTGTGCGAAATCGTGGCAGGCGCAGCACTTTGGCGATGCCGTTGCCGAAGTCGTGGCAGGCGCAGCATTCTGTGCATCTGGGTGTGTGTTTGTGTGGCAGGGGTCGCATTCGGCAGCTGTCTAGAGGGACAGGATGTTGTCGCGCGCGCGGCGGGGGGTGTGCGAAATCGTGGCAGGCGCAGCACTTTGGCGATGCCGTTGCCGAAGTCGTGGCAGGCGCAGCATTCTGTGCATCTGGGTGTGTGTTTGTGTGGCAGGGGTCGCATTCGGCAGCTGTCTAGAGGGACAGGATGTTGTTGCGAAATCGTGGGCATGTGCGAAATCGTGCAATGCGCACGGCGAAGTCGTGGCAGGCGCAGCAGCATCTGCAGTGTGTGTTTGTGTGGCAGCAGGCAGCTGTCGGACAGGATTGCGCGTCTAGCGTGTTGGCATGTTGCTCGCGCGCGCGGCGGGGGGCGTGCGAAATCGTGGCAGGCGCAGCACTTTGGCGATGCCGTTGCCTCTGTCGTGGCAGGCGCTGCATTCTGTGCATCTGGGTGTGGAGATGCCATTGCCGAAGTCGTGGCAGGCGCAGCATTCTGTGCATCTGGGTGTGTGTTTGTGTGGCAGGGCAGGCGCAGCATTCTGTGCATCTGGGTGTGCGTTTGTGTGGCAGGGGCAGCATTTGGCAGCTGTCTAAAAGGACAGGATGGCGTTGCGCGCTCGGCGGGGGGCGTGCGAAATCGTGGCAGGCGCGGCACTTTGGAGATGCCATTGCCGAAGTCGTGGCAGGCGCTGCATTCTGTGCGTCTGGGTGTGTGTTTGTGTGGCAGGGGCAGCATTTTGTCACTCATTCGCTCGCATTCATACTCACACTCACTCACACTTCTCGGATGTCTAAAAATTCGTCTACAAGGCTTGTGTAAGTGCAGAGCTGTGAGTACATGAGGCAGGGTGCATTGTGAGGCAAGCTGTTGGATGTTGAGATTGGGCTCGCAGAAGCCTTGTGTCCAGGGTCACGAACTTATATTTTGCAGAAGTTTTGTCAGAAGTTGGCAGAAGATTGCAGAAGTGTTGTCAGAAGTTTGCAGAAGAATGTTGAGCAGTTCGATCGCATGGCAGAATCGTTGTGTGAGACGTGTTCGCTTGGCCAAAAATGCCGATCGAACGTCACAAAGGCGCATGGCGAGCGTGCGTGTACAAAGCTGGCTCACGAGTGCGAGGGCCATGTCGAGCATTGGTGAGAGAGGCTGAGCTCGACTTGGCGCACTTGCAGGACGTTGCCCAAGAAGGTTTGTCTGCCCTTGCGGCGGCGGGGAAAGCATTGAGAGATGCGGCCAACTCGGAGAAGGACGTTGTGGGAGTGGATCGTCTCTGGGCACGACAGCAAGATGGTCGACTCCATGTTGCGGACTGTGCTGGACTGCTTTAGTCAGTGGTTGCGGCAAGGGCACTGCGATGGCTTTGCTCGGGGCACGCCTGCCGCCAACGCTCTGGCAACTCGAGCACGCAGGCTGGAGAGCAGTCCTGGCTTCGCTGGGGTCTTGGACGCTGCGAAAGCATTGCTGCGGGAGCACTTTGCCACGGAAGCTTTGGCCCTGCAGTCAGATGCTGAATGGCTGCGTGGTCTTGGCATTCACTGGCGCCTGGACTACGGCAGTCGCCCAAGGCACACCTCCGGCTTGGCCAGCGGCCAAGAGTACGTAGGTCTGCGGAACTTGGGCAATAGCTGCTACTTGAATGCAGTAGTGCAATGCTTTTACAGCTGCGGCCCTTTGCGTGAAGATGTTTCAAGGCAGTCGCCGGCCAAAGGCCCTTTGGCTTCGTGCATGCAGCGTCTTTTTTTGCAGCTTTCAGGAGAGAACGGACACTGGGATTACGTTTCCCCTGCAGCCTTCTTGCACCAGCTGTTTCTCACTGACTGCGCTGCCTTTCAGCCGGGCGAGTCTGCCGATGTACTGGAGTGCTGCCGTTTGCTGCTCAACTCCTGTTTGCTGCGCCCGGGACTGTTTATGGAGCCTGACGAGCGCCAAGGCGGGGCGTGCTAGTGCAAAAAGGTTTTGTTGTCAATTGCAGGAACCCATTCTGTTTATCCACGCTTTGTTGCTTTTGCAGTTTAGACGCTGCTAGGCAGCTATCCTCACATGGATGGCATCCACGTGTTGAGTGGTTTTCCCGGCCAGCTTGGGAGAAATGGGACGACTATCGGCGAGCTCATGCGAGCGCACTTTGTGGATGACTCTTGGCCATCCGCGTCTGCGCTGATTCTCCGAGTGCAGCAAAGTCCCGGCGATGTCTTGAACTGGAACGATGTGAACGTACGTTTTCCGGGCAAGGCAGCTTATTTGTCCAAGGATTCGAGCATCATGTTCTTGCGCGCGTGTGTGCGCGTGTGCATACGCTCGCCAACCTGTTTGCGCGTTTGCGCGCGCGTGCATTTCGGTGGTTTTGTGTTTTTGTGTGTCATTTTATCAGTGCGCGTGTGTTGGGTTTCTTACTGCTGTGTGTCTGTGAGAGAGGTTGAGCTTGGTTTCATTTGTTCATAGTCTTGCTGGTGAAGCTTTCTGTGTTGCTTTGGTGTCTGGGTTGCAGGCGCAGTATGCAGTGACTGGATTCGTTTGGCATGGGAATGACCACTACGTGGCTTACCTGGTGCATGGGCAAAAGTGGTACTGCCTGAACGATGCGGTCGTATCTGAAGTTGCTCCGGGTGATCTGCCTTCTGAAGCTTGTTTGGTTTTCTTGGAGAAGGTGGTGCGGCTGCGAGCCAAGAGCACGAGATCTTGCCCAAGGCGGTCAAGCCCTGCTCCCAATGCTTTGTGGCTCCGGCTGCCAGAAGCTTTAGCCAAAGCAGCGACGCAGCCGCTGCATCCCTGCGTTCCGGCCCACGCGCAGCAAGATAGGCTGGCGCAGGCATCAGCAAGTCCTCCAGGTGTGGGCGCTCGCTTGGGTAAGTTCGCCAGCAGCGTTAGACTGACGCGCGCAATCCGAAATGGAGAGCCGCGGGGGTCTAGCGCAGCAGCGGGCGGTCGCAAGCGAGACACCCGTAAGCGGCGTGGCCGGCAGCAGAAGAGGTCTGGCCGGCAGCAGAAGAGGTCTGGCCGGCAGCAGAAGAGGTCTGGCCGGCAGCAGAAGAGGTCTGGCCAGCTGCAGAAGAGGTCTGGCCGGCGGCAGAAGAGGACTTCCGAGAGAGAAGCTGGCGGACACCAGGAGCAGAAGCGGAGGCGGCTGGAGGCTAAGCGCGAAGACATTCGCCGTGGTCGCGAAGCGACTCGTCGGCAGACGGCGGTATTTTGAGAAGGAGACGCTGAGGGTGTGGCCCCAACGTGTTCAAATTGCCGAGCAGCCCTGTCTTCTCTGTGATGGTGTGGCATTTCGAGTGCGCGAAGAGCTCATGGCCCACATCGACGAAATGCACGGAGGGCTGCAGAGCTATCGGAATGCGTTTCTGCGCATGGAGTCTTTGTGTCCGCATGTCGTTGCGGGCTCGGAGGCATTTGGGCTGCGATATGTTTTTTCTTGAGAGCGTTGCCGTTGGACGTTTGTTTTTTCACAGTTTTGTTGATAGATGGGGTTTCTCGCCTTTGCCTTTGCGTCTTGTTATACTTGGACCCACTCAGGTGCGGCACTATGTTAGCAACTACGCCGAGTTTCTGCGGCGGTCTGCTCTTGACTGGGAAGCGTCCGCGCAGTCCTGCACACGGGAGCGTGTCGGCTGTGCGTTTTGTGCTCGGTGCTTTTGGCGTGAGAGCATGCAGCTTGTATATTTGAGCGGGCCGAAGTGTTTCATGGCAGCGCCAGCGGTGGTTTGGCAGCAGCTTTCGGTAACTCGCTACAGCGAGAGATGGCCACTCATTCCGATAGAGGACGGCTGCTAGATGTTTTTGCTTATGACAGTGCGCTGTGTCAAATTCTTGTTAGTATGGGGCAAAACAAAAATATGGCGTTGCAAGCTTATTTTTGATATGGATCGACAGGTGTCAAGTTGACCCATGTCTGTAAGGAGGCAGACAAACAAACATGTTGTCAACGTGAGACCAGAAGTAGGCAGTTGTTTGCATGCATTGCGTGCCTTCGACTCGTGCCAGGAGTTGCAAGCATCTAGTGTCAACATGGGCACATCTCGAGATCCAGTGCAAGTCTTGCTGCACCAGCGCCGGGTGACGGAGGATATGGCGCATGGCAAAGCTCCTGCAGCTGCATGTGAGGACTGTGTGGAGGCATTCTCTGGCAAGCGGCCCTGGCTGTGCAAGTACGCGCTGGCTAACGATCTCTGGCTTGGTCGCCCAGATCCTTTGCTATGGAAGGCCAATATGACGCACGAAATGTGCTTGGCATTGGCAAGGACGGTGGCTACGAAAGTTGTGCTGCGCGCTGGAGGGGCATCTCAGTCGGAGAGCAGCAATTCCTCAAGCAGCAGATGGGATTATGTTTTCCAGCAGTCAGGCCTAGTAGGATCTGCAGTGGTTTTCCACAATGGCGATGCGCTGGATAGCTTGCCGCCTCGCAAGCTCAACGACTCGTTGGCAATTTCTTTTTGTGTGGACTTGCCCACTGCTGAGGCACAGGAGCAGAGCAGAGCTACAGTCAGCCGTGTCGTGCAGCTGCGACTACACAGGAGTGAGTTCGTGCAGCAAGCTGAAGCACTTCGAGCAACAAACCCTGTCTACCGCAGCGGCGTGGCCGAGATCAACCGTCAGCTTCTGGCTGAGTGGTTCGGGAACGAGGACTGCTGGTCAGTGTGTGTTCGTCAGTCTGTGTGTGTGTGTGTGCGTGTGTGCGTGTGTGTCTCTGTGTGTGTGTGTATGCGTGCAGGTGTGCGTGCGTGTGTGCTCATGTGCCTCAGAGGTGCACCAAGCAAATTTGGCTGGAACAAGAGTAGAGTGCTTAGAAAGGGCTTGATTGTGCCTTGGCAGGAAAGTCTTGTTCCTCCTCCAGTGCTCGACTGTGTTGTCGCTGTGCCTGTGGGCAACGGTGGACCTGGCACTGTTATGCAGACTGGCCCTGGCGAAGCGACAGAAGCCGCTCAAAGCGTTAGGCAAGATGGCGATGTCAGTCGCGACTTGTCAGAGACTTGTGTACTTGCAATGGAGCCGCAGGTTGAAGATTTCAATTCTCATGGCCGGGAAACTTCCATGATGTTGGTAGGCATGTTGCAGAAGTTGGAAGAGCTGGAGCAAGCTGGCGCTCGGTCTGTTGCTTTGGAGATGGAGTCTATGGTGGAAGAGCAGCGGACATTGGTGGATCGCCTCGGCCGTCAGAAGATCTTGGACCTTTGCCGTGAGATTCATCAGTCCTGCAGGCAGCTGTCTGCTGCAGAGCAGCGGGATCGCTTGGAGCGCGAGCTGCGGGACGCTGTCATGGGCAAGTCGCGATGGCTGAATGGTTCGCAGGAGCAGCCTGTTCCGATAGAGGAGGAGCAGGTAGACCGGCAAGCTCGGCATCTCTGGTTGCGCGCGGCAAGCAGCCGTTGAGCTTGTGGGACTGGAAGATTTGGACAATGGCGAAGCCTAGGCTATGGCGCTATGGCGATGCTGGCAACTTGTTCGAGCGGGAGACCCACCTTTCTACATCCGAGTGGGCTGCTTGTTTGCTCTGGAGAGAAGAGTTGGCCTACTTCCTCACAGGTGAGCAGCGCGCCACTGCGGAACAAGAGCAACAGGCCACGCAACCCGGAATGGGGAGCAGGCTTGTGCAGAATCGCTTTTCTGGCGATTGGGTGGCTCTGCACATGATGGCGACTGTGGCTCGTCTTACCGACCAACGTGCTGCTTCGTACAACTTTTTGAAGAATGGTGGCATGGCGTTTGCGAAGCGGCTCGAAAAGCTCACTGCGGAGGACCTGGCCAGCGCTGCGCGTGCTGCTCCAGATGCAGGCGGCCTGGATCACTTCCTGAAAGAAGCGGCTGTGCCGCAGACGGTGAAAGATGCGCTGCACGCCATGCATTCTGCCTCTGCCACAGTCGTGGGCACGGATGGCCACCGTCGGCTGTGTAGGCACGAGGGCGTGGCCTACATGGAGACGTTTGGGCCTCCGCTTATCTTCTTGACTCCTAACGTGGCCGACACGCAGCACCCACTGCTTCTCGTTGTGCAGGGCGAAGAAGTCGATCTTGGCGCAGTGAGCAGCGACACGCTGGACGTTCTGCCGAAGTATCGCGACATGCTTCGTCGCATCGCCCAGGACCCGGTGGCTCAGACTGTCCAATTCGAGCTGCTGATGCGCCTATAAGCCGGTGCCAAGGTATTTGGTGGATTCATTTGTGTTTGGTGGTTTCAAAATGTGCGAAAGACCTTCTGTGTGCGAAATACCTTCTCATGGCATGTCAGCATGTGCTAATTATTGACTCAGTGGAAAGTAGTGTTTCAACATGACATGTGAGTATGTTGTTTTTCATACTTGGCAATATATATATATATACATATATTATATGTATATATATGTATATGTGTGTACACACGAGCATGTCATTGTCATGTGCAGTGCACGAAACCCACTAAACACAACCATTATCGAAATATGTTTGCCGCTACCTTAGCCTTGCACACTTGGCTCAAATTGCACCTGCATTTGGCGCAAGAAAGAACTATTTGGCTCAAAGTGCATCCGTATTTGGCTCAAACAACGATTCTGAAAATACTGTGCTGGGCCGACATTTTGCCACAGCGTAGCTTCTTCCTGGCTTCCTGATGTAGGGATCAGAAGTCAGTGTAAGAAACCATGAAAGAGAAAGGCACTCTCTTCAAGACTCAAGGGTAAATACTGAAGTCAGAACTTGAGGGCAGAGGGCCAGATGTTGAAGCCAGAAGCCAGCCAAGATGCCGAATCGAATCGAAGCCAGAAGCCAGAGGAAAAATTGCAAGCCAGATTCCGAAGCGAGAAGCCAGAAATTGAAGCCAGAGGGCATGATGCTGAAGCCAGAAGCCAGAAGCCATAAGCCAGAAGTCAGAAGCCAGAAGTCAGAAGCCAGAAGTCAAAGCCATGACGAAATGTGAACTTCAGTTGGCTGAAACTACACATGACATGTGCATCGACTGGCCCAGTGGCCTACTGGTATGGGCGTCGCTGATGTGGGTAAAAGCCGCATCACATGGCGAAGATCGTGGGTTCGAGTCCCACCTGGGCTATCCTTTCAAAAACCAAAATGCAAATTGGGAGCCATAGGGGGGCAGAAAGCCAGAGGCCAAGGAATCCGAAGCCAGAAGTTGAAACCAGAGAGCCAAATGCCGAAGCCAGAAGGCAGCAGCCAGAATCAGAAGGCAGAAGCCAGAATCGAGAAACTCAGAACAAGACTGGATGTGAAGCAATTGGAACCAAAGAAAGGAAGGAACGTGACCAAACACAAGGCAATAGGAAACTGAATGTCAATGTCTGATTCAGTTTCAAAGCAAATACCATTTTGCGAGTGTCAACCCAGAACTTCAAGTTGGCTCTGCAGCACTACGGTACGCCTTTTCAGCGCTCATTAGTCCATCACAAGCGCACACACGTCCTCATCTTGATCCTCATCTTCTTCGCCTGCCACCCGCCGATCGAGCTCAGCAGAGCCATCAGATTTCCAAATCACAATGGGCCTCGGCTCACCGTGCGCATGAGGATTTCTTTGCATCACTGCACGGCTTCTGGCATCTGACGCGTCAAAGCGGTGTCTCAAGAAGGAATACTCCGGAGGTCGGGAATGGCGTCGCAGCGTTTCCTGTGCCCAGTTCTTCAAATATGAATGAGCTTCCTGCGAAATAGCACCGCTCTCAAAGGCAGCTGTTGCTTTCTGCACAATCTTCTGTCGATCTGCCCAGCTGATGTGTCGGCGAGGGTGGTTACCAACAGGCTGCAAGCTCACTGACGCCCGAGCGCTCTCCATCTCGTTGGCAGGGACAAGCGTACAGACTTGGTATGGCCCTGCGTCGCTCATAAACTGGTGGAGTGCCAAAACGAGATCACCAGGATGCGGAGGGGGTGCGTTGGCAAACGACGTTTGGCGCGCCTCAGCAATGTCTTCTGGCTTCAGCTGCTGACGCAACACAATCCGAAACCCGTGAGGGGCTTTTGGCCCTGTGAGCTGGGCGAAATCCAAACCGATCTCATCCACCCATTGCCGCCAGCAGGCTGCATTGTCATGTTTGTACGCTGCTTTGTGAAAGGTTCCAGATTCGAACTCTGCACTGTCCAAAAAGCTTTGATATACACTTAATAGTCCATCTGCAGAATCGAACGTGTTGTGACTGCAGCGTACCTGAAGTGCCAGACTGACTGCGGCGGTCACTGCTTTTTTAATGAAACAAAATGAAAAGCCAGGACATTAGTTGGCCAACAAAAGATATGAGTTGAAAGCTAAGCAGCTACTGCGTGACCCCCAATGCCGTCCAATGGACCATGGGTGTGACCCTTGATCGGGAAAGCAATGTAGATCGACTCAAATACGCTCAAGAGCCGTAGTTTAATCCAATACTTCAACATGTGCTGATTTTTGTTGTCGCGCGATGTATTGTCTAATACCACATAGACGTGTCTTGGAAGGGCGCGGTGCTGATCAAAAATTGTAGAGAGGCACCTCGACAAGGCGTCCATGTGCACTGTAGAATCCTTTCTGACGTCTGGCTCAGAGATGCAGAACTCAAAGAGATGAAAGTGGCACCAAATCATCTGGCAGTGCATGGCCGGCCTGATCACTGTGTCAAACATCTTGCTATGAACCAGAACTCGTGGCACTCGGTGCTTGGCCTGATCTAGGCCATCAGAACGAAGAAGCAGCACCGAGTGCTGAAGCTCTCCCAAAGGGATGCCAGACATCATGGCCTGGCGAGTCTGGCCAGCCTGCGCATGCCAAGCAGCATCCACCTGGCGGTCTCTCCAGTTGCGAAGTAAATGCGAGGCGTAGTCTTCCATACACTGGGTCCTCAATCTGACCGGCAACTGCTTACGAAGCTCCCGCTTATAGTGCATGCACTGATCGCAAAGGCCATGCTGGCCAGCCGCCTTGCGAAAGCTCAGCCATTTGGAGGCAGCGCGCAGGGCACGACGGAACGTGGTCCATGATGGAGTCAACAACTGATTCTGATGACACCAAGCTCTGCACAGCTCGTACATTACTGCAGGTTTTATCACCCCCAAGTACCTTCTGGGCGCATCAGCCATTTGCGGGCCTGTCATGGCATTGTCAAATGGGTTACAGGCAACCACAGCCTTGACAGCCAGTGAGTTCAGTGACCTGAGGTCCTCTTCATCCAAATCTGCATTTGCTCTGGCATCTTCGTCTTCTGACTCTGACTCATAGGTCGTGTCTGGCGTCTGTCGTCTGACGGGTGGGCAACAAACAAGCGCCGGGCGTCCCCTCAACTGCTCAAACTCAAACCGATCTGGCAAAAACTCTGCATCAGCATGATAGCGCAGCTGTAGAAACCGATTGCAAGTGTCGAGCTGCTTAGACTCAGCCTGGTGCTCCACCCGGAACTCCTTCCTCCGGCGGTCTGGCTGTCCGTGTAGCACCTTAGACCGCACGGCAGTCACGCTTGACATAATATGTCTGTGTTGTTTTTCTTGTTGGACAATCGCAGAAAATATGCTGAGTGAAGTTCAAGCCACGCGATGCAAGCGAGATCCACCAATTCCCAGGGCAAACATGGCAGCCCGCACACAAACTGTTGTTGACTTGTCCGCCCCGGCAAGGAAAGTATAGAATCTGACAGACGGTTTCTTGGTGCTGGCTCGATCTTTATACTGCCTGCTGGGCTGCCTCAAAGTCGAAGAAGAGGGAACAATCGATTTGCTGGATGCTGTTGAAGCTTCAATGCCGCCAAGGTCTAAAAGGTCATTTGCGCCATCGCTGGGTTCAGACGTGCTTGTGCTTTCTTGAGCGTTCTGACATCCGTGCCTGTCTGACATCTCTGACGTGCTGGTCGAGCAGCCTTCCTCCAAATCACAAGGCACTGGACGTTTTCTGACAACCGGGCCTTGAGCTTGTTCCTCCTTGTCCACTTCAGAGCGATGGAAGATCCAAAAAAGCTCCTTGTCCGCAATGTCCTTGTGAGCCTCTGACATCTGGCTTCGCCACTTCCGAATCTCATCCAGAAGGGGCTCAAGCTTGATGAAGCACTCGTGCAAGCAAAACGAGCAACCAGTGTTGCTGGCACGACATGAGGCCAGCCTGCTGTGAAACTTTGCTACAAAGTTGTTCCAGGGACTGTTGACCTCCTGCAGCTTCTTCGGCCTGACGACCCGTGGTTTCTTTTTTGCGACAGCTTGGGCCACCTCAAAGCCCTCGCATGACTCAGTGTCAGTTGACACAGCATCTTCCATATCACCATCCGAGTGACCCGAACGCAATGCCTGTCAATCCTTTGAATAGTGTGTGGAATCATGAAACGCACACTTTCTCATGCAGAACACTGCGGCTGGGTCGGTGTCATGACTTGCTAGCACCTTCAAATTTCAGTTATGCAGGCCTGAGCATGACAGGAACCAAAAGGTCAAGAA